CACAAAGGCGAGCAGCAAATTCCGACCGAATCATCTTAACTACTTGGTATTCCTATATAATCGAGCCGTCCCACCATAATATGAGACGCTACCTTGGCCAGCATTTTTACCGAATTGTTATCTAATCGACCTGCATTCTTAGTATTTCGATGTGTACACTAGACAGTTTTTCTCGTATTCAACATTTGAAGTACATCGAATCTCTAGGTTTACCAAACGCCATAACTGGGATAAGCTAAGTGTCTTCTTGAGAGCGCTTTCGCAAATACTGCTATACTTTCATCCTGTTTACAACGCACTCCGATTTCTGAGACGTGAGTTAAGGTATAAATTGTTTTTTTATATCAACTCTGTACTAAGGATAAAAAGGATAACACTCTCGGTGTTGGTTGATCTCTGAGGAATGCGTCATGCATTCGATTTCACTAAGAATCGTTAGAGGTTATTGATTGCAATTTGGCTTATTCAATGACTCGTGGTGATCTACCGATCTATAGACTCGGTGCTGCTATCCTCCCAGACAGGTCTGGCACCAATTTGCCAAACTAGAATGGATGGGAAGGCTTGGTGAGGCTGTGGATCGGGAAGGAACCCAGTGTATTGCAGGGCACTTTTAACCACAGCGCTACGCTCTACTATATTCAGGCTATTTTCATCTTGTTTATATGCTATGATTGTAGTGGCGGGTGCGATTGATGCACCAGTGATGTAGTGACCGTTGAGCCGCTCACTACTTAGTAGTAGTTCAGTGGTGAGAATACTCGGTTGTAGTGAATATTAGATAGTGTAGAGATTATCGACTAGTTATTGTCTCTGCTTGACTCGCGTGAATCTTCGTCGTGATTCTTACTATTTGATAGTTCTATAATATGGGTATTTACCCCTTGACGATTGAGGTGCTGCGAATTGAGAATCAAGCGATGGAAAACTCTAGTCTTATGTGATACAATTAATCTGTAGGCTATGGTTGCCAAATGAATCCACGGCTTGAGTTCCGCGTGAGGATGCTAGAGGCTAGCTTGCTCCTTTGAATGCAATGCCACGTTGTATTGAACTGTCTGCTTGTGCGAACTTGTATCTGCTCGTTCTTCGCCACGCGGGACTCGTGACTGTTGTCTTCACAACTTAAATTTCAAACTTGGGTTCGACAAATTGGTACCCGACTTGTCTGGGAGGACAGCAGCACAGACTCGATACATCGGTAGTCCACCGCTAGTCATAGGAAGGTCGGTTATGCAGCTCCAAACGTTGCTTAACGTTGAGTGCATGACGCATCCCTCAGGGATTAATCAACGCAAAGAGCTTTATTAATAGAACATAGCTTCGACATATTAGTTCCTTGAGCGTTATTGGGACACAAAAAAGAACAAATTTGTTTCTCGTGAACACTCTGTATTTAAATTCAATTGCATACCACTTTTTCCACATAGGACGTAGGAATCGGCAAAAATTTCCTCTATCTGCAAATGCTCGATGTTATAGGAACGAAAAAATATAAATATGGATATATATACAACATATTTCGTCGGAGATTTTTGTTCCTACTAGTGCTTGTTCATCAGCACATCCAATGCGTGAAGACATCCTTCATGAACCCCTAGTCCACCTATAGAGAATTCCTCTATCCGATAGAGAATTCCCTACCTATCTAGTAAACACATTCTATAACTCGATAAAGACTGCATTTGCCACAACGTTCGCGTGCGTGCCCTACATCCACATCCCATTCTACCCATCGGGCACGCCACTAGACACAGCTTCTCGTAGCCATCAGGCACACCACAAGGCATGCTATCGGGTACGTCTCATTGCTTGGGGACTAGACCCCGCGACCCGAGTCTTGGCCCTCCGACCAGCGCCACTCACTTGGACGTAGCCACGCCCACTAGAACCGTCAATTAGCTTCTGACGACGCATTGGAGATCGCCGTTTCCTTTCTCTAATCATTGTTTGCTCTCCTACATAATCATTTCATTTACAATTCCTTCGATCCACTTAGGCACAAATGATGTCAACTAGAATGTGTGGCCCTTGCATTTGAAACACATCACTGTTGTCATTGATTCTCTTGTAAATACTGCATGTTGTTAGCATAAGTTTTGCTAAATGCTTCCATTGCTCACAGGTGCTTTGCCCAGCAATTCTCCATTCTTACTGCTAAAGCATTCTGCTGATTGCTATTCACGTTCTTGCACTGTGAGCCGTAACACCACCACACTACCGTTCCAAGATTCCTCTTATGGAAACTATTCCTGGTATCACATAATTCTGTTTGTATTGTCACACCACGTTCGGTACGTTCAATGGGTATAGATAATTGAATCACATCAAGATACTCCATATCTGACCGACTTGTGCAATGTTCAGCCCATAAAGAGTAGTCTTATGTCAACATGTCGGGAACTGTTCTTACGCAGCTTCGATAAAAAAAAATACATTATGTGCAAAGTATTTGGACAAAACAGTACTGAACAATTTGCTTCAAAAACGCCATCCCAAACTGTAATACACAGTAAAGAACACCGCACGATTCCTGTGAGCCCCAAGCAAGAAAAAAATCACAGAAGTGGGTAATATATCATATATCCTTAACGTTAACAAAAGAACAGTAACGGAAATTTTGACTCAATACACAGTTCTTACACTTCAGATTGAAGATGATCGCACAGCAATGATAATGTTAGACTTTCTAGCAAAACAAGGAACAGCTCATCAAAGTCAATGTTCGAGATATTCATACGGAAGTTGAACTATGATTAAACATATACCATGGCAAATCCTAAAGAGCTAGTTGGCTTCCGTTGCCACCTTCTAGACAAGTACAGTAAAAATAATGGGCCAGTACTGTGATGCTCATCGTCTCACGGTCGTTCTCAGCCTATTGAACATCTGTTGTGCAAACTAGGATTGAACGGAAATTCAAATGGTACCGACTTAAGTTATTCGATAATAGACGGAATTACAAGTGATACAGGTAGCCATAGCGAAACTATGTGGTTGAATATATACATCACCTCAAAGCCATTCAATGAAGTTCTCCAGGCAGTTTAGTTTTTGGAATCCAACGGAAGGGAATGCTCTGGACAACCTTATCGTAAGAGTTAGTCGGCGCCTTCACGATAGAATGTCGGCTGAAAATGGAATGAACTATGGGAATGTTGTTGTTGCGAATTCCGAAGCAGAAACCGAAATTATCGGGTTTTTATTGGCTCATTACAACATACCGATGAACTGGTTAACCCGTTGTCGTCTTTTCCTGCATCTTCATCTGTATCTGAGGAAGACTCACTGCCAGGTTCGCCTGATGAAACGGACTGCGAAGGTGGCAAGGGTGTTTGATTAAGTACAATTGCACCGTTCGTTTTTGTTGTGGATCCATTGTTAGTAACACCAGTGAGACGAGTAAAACACTATAAAAGGTAGTGGGCAAGCAGGATATGATAAGTGTACAATCTAGAAGTATCAAACTAAAGATGTTTTTCCGTCTTGATCAACTTTAATACAGATGACACGATTACCATGTCGCAAACGCGAACTGGTTTCTTATTCAGGTTGTCAATCCTATACGAATGTGTTGAACAAGAGCCACAAATTACGCGACCACAGGCGCGACAGTGGTGCTGCAATTGTTTTGTTCGAGCTGGATAATCTAGTACAATATGAACAAAAACAAAACAATTACTCTTCTCTGAACAAGGTTGAATTGAGTGCGACCACAGGCCATGCAACGGGCAGCCTCTCCATCAGGAATCCATACTGCTGCATGCTCTTTCGCAGGGCGTTTATTTCCTGTCGATGCAATGATGAAAAAGAATTCAAAAGCACACATATCCATAACAATACAACCTTTCTCTAACAAATCTGCAACACAACGTTCTATATGAATCATCCACTCCTTTTTCTCTTTCGGCGATGCAGCATAAACCGCAAATGATTTCTCCGGTGTTTTCACGATCCAGCCATTTTTCATTCCTAAAAGATAGCAGATCTCAGAAATTAAGGAACGACCTTCACTCGTTCTCTAAATTCTACCTGAATCCCTTTCCCATACCACTGATGTGGAGATGTACAGAGAGATTACCGCGCAGCACGGTTCTCCAAGATGAGAACGAGTTCAAAATTTCCAATCGGAAGGCCAACTAGGAGTAAACCAATACTAGGAGTCATACGTACACGGGGTCCTGGTATGAAACCAGTTGTTAGATGGCAAATCTCCTAATACACAACGGTCGGCAATTGTTTGTGGTCGTAACGACCTGGGGAAGACCTTGGTAGCGCTGACTCGGGTCTCCATGGAATCAAAAAACGCTTATCCAGCAATAATCGAGCATCCGTTCTCTGCACTCTTTGTACTGGCTACATTATGGTCTCTGCATCTCACAACGACACGACTATGGGGAAATCGGTCGCATCATCACAAACAAGAAATGGGGCGTCTTCAAGATCGATGTGATGCCACCATTCCGTATTGGGCATTACCAATACCTTCTCCGAAGGAAAACTTGATCCAGTCATAAGATGGGAAAGTAATTCTCTCATGACCCAAAATGAAAAAGGGAAATCTTACTTCATAAGAACATTCTGAACGAAATCCTTGACTATGCAAAAAAGCCCAAGGCTAGCAGATCAAGAAAGATCTAATCGAAAAAGCCCAAAACATCGGTTTTTCTTGCAGAGTTCAATGGAAGTCAGAATTGAAAAGACCTATTCTATGTGCCATCAACGTCAGAACAAATATAAAAATAAAGGATAAAGCTGTCGACGCCGATCAATCCCTGTGACATGCCATTCACGCATTCTACTTTCTTAGGCATCGTTGGGGTAATTGAATGCATATCTGACCTACACAGCGACTTGTGGTGGCGTGCCGATTTATCGAGTCAGTACTACAATCCTCCGTGAATGTGCTACCAATTTGACGACCTCGGCAAGAAGGAAGGCTTGGTCAGCGTGCGCCTCTGGATCGATCCCATGTGTACGGTATGGCAGCTCTAACCACTGCATTACACTCGCCCAGGACATATACTCTAATGAACTGCCGACAAAACATATCACAGCATCACGTCCGTCCTCCCAATACGAAGAAAGTTCATCACAATAACTTACGCTGAAAAAACTTGATAAGAATATATTTTAACACACTCGCGAAGATGCGACCTCAATAGGATTTAAACGATGAGAAAACGGTGGTTTTTCTACTTTAACAAACACATCTCAGTCTAGCTTATTGTGAATTTCACCAATTGCAATAAAACTATTAGAATTTACAAATCTTTGCCTATACGGTAAAAGTACTCTGGTTTAACCATGACGAAATTCTGACTTTCTGGAGCTCACGACATATATTTCTTCCCCGTTCTTGCTTCAAAGCCCATATTACTAAAAAGAAAGCATACGAATAGATGGGATTTCACCAAGCAGGACATAACGATGAGCACAATGTATCATTCGTGTCTTCAGCTGGTGCTATTTCACTAGGAATTGAAAAACTTAAATTTCGACATCAATTCTCTGGAAGTTTCAACCCTAAAGAAACTAAAATTTGACAGAGGACATTGTACGAAAAACATGCTTGCTGTCACGGCGTTATAGCAAAGTCTCTTCCACAAATACTTCGAGTTATAAACTTCTGAAAAATTCTAGCGAATGAGAAATGATCGTCTGCTGTTGTGAAACCAGTTCTGTCACGAACGTGTCAACATAACTCCATCACATAAATTTCTGTAACCTTAATACTTTATGCTAAAGAAAGCCAACACAGTACGATAGCATACGAGAGGGAAAAAATTGAGCATTACACATGTAAAAACAATAATGCAGATATTTCCAAAACTATGGACAGCTAAACCGTGGAATCGATCTCAACGCCCATGGCCCACCAAGCCTTCCATCCGTCCGAGGTCGGCAAATTGGTACCAGACTTGTCTAGCAGGAAAGCAACACTGGCTCGATACATCGGTAAGCCACCGCGAGTTATTGTAAAGGCGAGATATGCATTCAATCACTTCCAAGGATACTTAATGAAGTCGAATGCATTACGCATCCCTCAGATATTGATCAAGAGCTTTATCCGTTATCCTTTTATGGACGGTAGGTTTCGGCGGTGAGGATCGAACATGCTATTACCCTTTCCGTGGGCTAACGCGTTTACAACAACACCATGCGGGTACTTCGCTACTCTTTTCTATTAGCTAGTTTTCTGTGTAGCAGTGCCATCAGCAATCGTCCGTCAAAAGGATTGATCTGGGAGTCACATGTCGGCATTGAACTCGGTTAAACTGAAGTCGTAGTATAAGTCACAAAGTGACCACTTTTTTCACTTACTGCCTATTCTTTTCATGGCATGATACGCTGTAAAATGTAACTACAATGATGCTGAAATATTTGCAGAACTCCAGACCACAGAGAAAGGCGAAGCGAAGCTGTGGCGGAGAACCCTTTAGCCTCCGGAAAGTGTAAAAGCGGGTTCGATTCCCACCGCAGACACCTGCGATTCGGAGTTTTGCAAATATCTCAGGATCATTTTAGTTATATTTCACAGTATTCCCATGAAAACAGGCTGCAAATAAAAAAAAGTGACTACATGTAAAGCACTTAACAAGGGAAACGTAAACGCAAGTTACGTGGACAAAAAAAATAATACATGAAAGTTCCATATTGGTCCCATATTGGAAAACGAAACATTTCGAATTCAACAATTTAATAATGCACTGTATAACCCCCGGTAGGGTCAGCCATGCTAGGAGCTGAGATCAACCTAAGCCACCAATCACCACGTCTTTTAGACAAAACCTGCATACAGAGCCGGGAATCTTCCCTGAAGTGCGTCGACTGCGTGTGATGACAACATGGCAAATCCTCGGCATTGCAGCTTTAGAATTCAAGAAGAAAGCGGAAAAAACACTTGCGCACTCAGTAAAGTATCAGTGGGATGGAAATTCAAAAGTTCAAAGTTCAATGCAAAGTGGGACTATTCATAACTGTTTTGATATTCTACATGAAACTATCGCGAATCATTGTGAAAACTGGGAGGGACACGTATAGCGCAGTCGTCGGAGGTACCCTGCAATACACCCCCGCGTCCCTCGCTCACCAAGCCCTCCATCTCTTTGGGGTATGCAAATTGCTACCAAACATGTCTGGGAGGATAACAGTACTGATAATATACATCGGTAGGCGACCGCGAGTCATTTTAAAAGACATATATGGATTCAATCACCTCTAACGATATTTAATGAAGTCGGATGCATGGCGCATCCCTCAGGAATTGGTCATCACTCGCAGCTTTATCCTTTAAATTTCGAGATAAAATTGAAACCTCTAATTACCTCCTTCATCAGGTAGGTCCTCCAATTGCACATTCTCAAGCGCTATTATCCGTTGCTTGTTGTAGCGCTTTTTCGAAATCACTATATTCCCATAGACTAATATGTCATTGAAGAGGAAGAACTGACGTCTCTTCGGCTTCTTCCTCAAAAGATTTCACAATTATACTACTCATGCTACTAACAGGACCAACTTCCTAAGAGAATTCCAGAAGAAGAATGATAGTACGCTACGCTAGGCTTTGCTCAACTAACATTTGCCAACGACACCTATTTGAAGCAGACTTTTGTAGGAATTTGCAACTACATTTACCACTCCTACTCCATGAAGCGCTTAGATTCCTAGTGATGTACTAATCCCACTAATTTGTTGTTGTTGTATGTGACATGATAAGTGGCTGGTTTTAGAAAGAATCCTTAATACCTGCACATTTTCACCAACACACCCTCACCGACCAATACACGACCGAACAAACTGAGCGGCCTAGCCATTTTTCCAAAACACTGCTCCACATTTGCCACTCGACGAGCGTTGACCTCACTGTTTACTGAAGCATTGTAAGAATAAAACAAAGTGGCGCATAGGGAAAAGAGGCCGTCAGCCTCTTTAGTTGCTAAAAACAGTTTGTCCACAAAAACTAGAAACGATTGGAAATACATGTGGGTGGATGATTGGAAATTAAAATGGCGAATATAGTGTTTAAACCTACCAAGTCTGTCTACCATTTCGTCGCAAGGCAGAAGTGAATCCTACTTCAGCTAAACTTACAGCTTCTTTATGCACTGAAGACGAAAACACGAATTGGGTTCAATGCATAACAACGTCATGAAGAGATACTGACTAGAAGGTAGAATACCACACTACTACGACCACAAGACGTAAAAACCATCCGAAAATTCTGGAACTGAAAACCCACAAACTTGTGAAACGAAGAATGACTCACGCCACTAACCAGATAGATGATAGGAGATTTTAGTAGTGCTGTATGCAAATTCTACGTAATCACGTCGGACACCCTTTACTTGACGTCTTATTTTTATGTTCAAGGAAAGGAACTAGGATCCTTACTTCTTTTGGGGAGTCGGCTGCTGCAAGACATTCATTCTTGCAGTGCTGGCGTAATATTGATGGTTCCATGTCATCTAACAAGGTTTAACAATGGTGTACTTAGAGGACTTGTTGTTAGTGGTTGCAAGCACACTTAATGCATCCAAGATCTCTTCCAATACTTGACTCCTCATCGCTTATTGTGAGGATCTCTCCACTTCATAAATTCCGTTCCTTTCCTCACATACGTCGTCCAAGAATGTCTTCAAAGGTGTGGGTTCGACTGCTGTTTGACGATTTTTTCCTCTTTATTAGCGTTCTTGAATGATGGTCAAGCTAATTCTTCCTGGATTCTTACGATAGCCATGCCAGCGCATTCCCATCTTGATTAGAAGTATTGAGCTTGCCCCATTAAAATCGCGATACCGCTTTCCAGAACTCGGATGGATGATATGGTTGGTAGGCTCGCAGAGATGTATCATGGTTAGGTTTGGGTTGTCCGTAAAGTGAACGGGGTCACTGCGCTATCACCTGTTGCATTTTTTAAAACGATCTTGCAAAATAAGGTAAGCTTCGTTCGTAGACTTTTTCTCTCCCTATTTTCAGGTAGGGGTTTGTTTTGTTGGGAAGTTCGTGTGAAAGTGTACTATGGCATTTGTGTTAGGAATTTTTATTCCTTTACACGTTTTCCTTTAAACTTAGTACAAATTTTTCCGTGGTAGCTGATAAAAGTGGGAGCAGCAAAGGTCCTTACTTACTTTTTGCCCGTATGAGAATATCCACAGTGTTTCTCACGTGGTTTTTCGATATGGTCGTTATGAATTGTATAGTCTTCAAGACCCTCCTAATGGTTTACCTCCTCATCGTGGCTGGGAGGTATTCTTGTTTGTCGGAGTGCGATGTACCGCAGGGGACCAAGGCAGGTTCTCCCAGGCTGAGAAGGAGTCCAACGTTTCTATCAGGAAGCATGGCTAAGAGGAGACCAATATCACGATTCACTACTGTTTTGGTATCAAAGTAGTCGTGTGGTGTGAAATCTACCTCTGATCCACAAGGGCGGCGATTGCTTGTAGTGATAACGACCTGGGATAGATTTTGGCCAGGCTGTCCTCGGGACTCCAGGGAACTTCAATGGCTAAACCAACAAATCTCCGAAGAATGGAAATTATGCTGGCTCCCGCATAACCAGTGAGCACGGGTCGTCCAGCTATCCAAGTATAGTCTTCAAGACAGTTGACATTCTGTTCATTACGTGGCCGCAGTTGTTTTCTCAAGGGATTTGTGCTCCTTTTAATGATATTGTTGAAATTTGTGAGGAATAGGTAAGCGTGTTCATTGGAAATATTTCTTCTATCATTCAAAGGTCTCATATACTTCGCAGTTTATTTACTAGATAAGTACCACTTTTCATTTAGACTTGTGCGAAATGTGTGTTATTCTTTTCTAATTTCGATGTTTTGAGCGTTTTCTACATCTGCTTAGTGGACCCTGTATGTCAATTAGTTTCCATGAATCTATTTAACATCACCGTTTTTACTGCCATATTTTTTTATTCTAAGGGTACGTGTAGCGCGGTGGTCAGAGACGCCCTGTAACACGCATGAGATCGATTCCCGCTCCCCAGGCCCACCAAGCCTTTCATCCATCCGAGGTCGGCAAATAAGTACCAGACTTATCTGGCAGGATAGCAGCACTGGCTCTGTAAAGGCCTGATATGCATTCAATCACTTCATGCAAAAGTTAATGAAGTCGGATGTGTAGCGCATGTCTCAGGTTTTGATCAACGTTGGGAATCATATTCTTTATCCTTTATGTTTTATTTTTAATGTTCACAATTGTATCAAACTGTTTGTTTGTGTCATGGGATCGAACGACGAGCTTTCATAGTATGAAGTAACAAGGGTCTCTCTAGGACTCCCGCAAGACTCCGTTAGTGCTCGTATCGGTACATTCCATTGTTCATTACCATGCTTTCCGATTTAGAGATCCAGGAGTATATCTCAGAATAGGGATGAAATTCAGAGGAATGCCTGGAATTATCCGTCTTCGGCAGTTGGCAGTTATTGGTGTCATAACTGTCTCGATCATCTTTATTTATAACGGGTACTCAACACGCGAACTGAATAAAGAATTCGGGAGTCAACAGAATATACTGCTCAAAACTGGATATTTTCAAGAGGACGAGGTGAATGATATTTGATTCATGATCGGTGGATACTTTTCATATGATGTGGTTTACTATCGCTAGTCATAATGAGCAGTACAGTTTAGTACAGATGATCAATGTAAAGTGTGCCAAAAGAAAATGTTTTTTCAGTTGTGCGTTCATAACAAACATCTGAAATTTTCATCGATACTGGGTTCTTAATGATTTGTTCACTTTTTATTGTTACCTATTTTAGTTCGATTTTAAAATCGTCGTCAGTGGTCAAGATGTCGATCGTCAGTACAACAGTGGCTCAGTGAAGTCCATAAGCAATTCCGTTCCCATCACGAATTTGCAAAGCCAGGTGTGGTTTCAACTCCAGTTCACAGTTACAATATTTTTACAACTTTTATTTTTGTTCGGTATTTAGAAATGTGAGATACCGAAGCTCGATATAGATGGTGCAGAGGTAAAGGACTTTTTTTTCAAGGCTAAGCCGCTAGAATGCAAAAAAAATCCGGAAAATTGGGTCTATTTAGATCAGAATAACACAGTCCAGTATATTGAGAGGAGGTTTTGGTTTTATTTCATCCGTCTTATCTTTGTTTCACCACGTAAATGATTTACAGGAAGCGTGCAAAATGTAGTGGAAGTTACGTTACCCGTAGAACTGATCAAACAAATGACCATGAAATGTTTTCTACGCTTCCTATTGGTCAATCTTTGTTGTCCGATTTTGCTATTGTAGAGTGTAGGGATGGAAATCTAATGTGGTAAGAATTTTTGCTTTTTATTTCATTGTAAAGAATATGTATCAAATGAGTTTTACAACGGTCCCACATAATTTCAGGAATGGTATACTAATGGGTGTGGTAAGGTTGAATGATAAGCAACTTTTAAAAAAGAATGCTACCCCAAGCCCCGATAATTCTGGCTTGAACGTCTACATCTTAGGGTTTGATTCGCTTAGTCAGATGACATTTAGAAGGAAAATGCCAAAAACTATAAATGTGCTCGAAGAGACACTTCATTCGGTGGTGTTGAACGGTGAGATCTTCCTTCATACTTTTTTATGACAGTCAGAGAGTGATCGGTTTGAGGATATAATATCGTTGGCGATGGTACACCGCAAGCCTACATACCCATACTCACTGCATCGACCGAAGAGGAACTTCCACTTACAAGGTCGAGTGTTGCTGCGTTGTTTTTTGGTATTTTGGTCACAGCGGTGGAGCAAAATACTTTTTTTTGTTTGCTATGTGTCCCTATTATTGTTTCGTATTAGGAAGCGATTTCGAGAAGCAAATTATGTTGACGATGTGTACCCGTTCATATGGAATAACTTCTCTTCTTCTGGATATGTTACACTGTACGGTGAAGACGCGTTTGCTATAGGTAATCTCGCCGTTGACTCTTCGACCTGAGCTAGCGATTAATTGTGAAGATAAATTTTATTTCCTCATACTTAAGAATCGCCTGATATAAAATCGGTAATGAAATCTTGGTTTCTTTCTTAATGCCGTTTCATCGGGTTCCATTTGGGAACCGAATTCATTTTTGTCTTTGGACTTCTGGTAGTTGTTATCAATGGTTTTTTCACTGGTTGTCCGTGTTACATTTCAGGGAGACAATCAATTTTCAGTTGAGATTGTCATATTCGTTTTAGGTACTATCTTTCGTTTGTAAACCGTTAAGACAATCATTTCATCTTCACTATTCTAATTTATCATAATTTAGTTTAGGAACATTCACCTATCGATTAAAAGGGTTTCGAAAGAAGCCTACCGATCACTACCTCAGAACGATTTTCAAGGAGTATGAAGAGAAATTTGGAGGAAATTGTCTTGGCTCAGAACCTCTGCACAGAGTTGGTTTAGTATTTGGTATCTTCTACGTGTTTATATCTCGGTTTCACCGAGTGCGAAAATTTAGTACAGAATGCTTAACACGAGGCGCTGCAAGTGATTTTCCGAAAACTGACGATGATCACTTGATCATTAGAGTGCGTCAAACGTCCATAGCTTTATAGATCATTTTTAAGTGTCCTTTTACATTAAATTATGGTTAGAAACTATGTTTTAGAGAAATTACCAACGAAATTTAATTTTTAGAAATTTCCGGCGCAAGTGTGGCAGTTGCGAATGTAAATAGCACACTATAGGACACCTTCATAGCTTGCCGGAAATTGTAGCTGTTAATTTGCCTTCGTGTTCGTGAGCCTTGAAACAAGAAAGTAGGGAAAGTAGAAAACAGAAAAGAGCTTCATTAGGTCTAGAAAATCACAGTTTTAACTTTGTAGAATAAGGTTGCTCCATCTTGTAAGAAAACCCCGGTGGTTTCTAAGGTTTTTGTTTTAACAAACTAAATGAGTAGAGATATGCTGGTTTGAATAACATAACGTGGTCTTATTTCGGTATCAGCTGCATTGTAAACGGTGGAGCTCGGACGTTATGTGTTAAATGTTTTTTTTCATTCTTTCTGAGTGTTTTAGACATGGTTTCACTACTCTCGTGAATTCATGAGGGTGTATAATGATGTGCCGCGGTTCCTTTTAATGCATCAAAGTCTGCTGTCTCATGATGATATCAATTTGGTTGAAGTAGAAGATGAAGATCTTGCTAGCCATCTTTCATCTATGCATAGAAACGGTTAGTGTGAATTTATGGGATGACCTCTGATCATTATGTTTTCTAGCCAAAAATTGGGTCTTTCCAACTGTTTGTTCCTAATCAATATTTTATCCATGCAATTTAAGCATTTTTTTGACGAGTTCTTTTTTTTGTCATAGTGGTCTGCTGTAAACAGTTAAACTCAGAAGAGTCAAATTTTAGTAGGCGGTGAATTACATTCGATTTATACCTCATGAAATTTTAGCTCCTACCATAGTTTTTCTGTTTAGGCGAGTTAGATAACACGCTGGTCATTTTGATGGCAGATCATGGTCACCGTTTTGCAAAGGTCCGAGCGACACATCAAGGTCAGCTCGAAGAGGTGGTCGATATTCATCCCTTCATTTTTGTATTAATTTCACGATGAAGACGTATGAAGGCTGAGGAATTGGTTTTCTATGTGTAAAAAGAATTTTACAGCGTTTACCATTCTTTTCAATCTCCTTACCTAAGAAATTTAAAGAAACTGAAAATGGAAGGAAGATGTACGAAAATCTTCTGAGGAATAAAGATAGGTATGTGGATTTTTCCTTGCCGATTTGATAAAATGTATATAACTACTATAATGCTAAGACATTTGCAAAACTCCGGACCGCAGGTGGCTGCGGTGGGGAACGAACGCGCTATTGTCCTCTCCGGGGAGTAACGCGCTCACCACCACACCATGCGGGTCCTTCATTTCGCCTGTCTCTCAGCTAGTTCTATCGATCCTTTGCCATAAGCAATAACTTATCAACGGGATTGATCTGGGGAGTCCAAATCGGCATTGAACCTAGTTAAGCTGAGGCTATAGTTATAATCACAATCTCATCCTTTTTATTTACTGCCTATTCTTTTACGGGTGATTGCTGATGGCAAAGGATCGATAGAACTAGCTGAGAGACAGGCGAAACGAAAGACCCGCATGGTGTGGTGAGCGCGTTACTCCCCGGAGAGGACAATAGCGCGTTCGTTCCCCACCGCAGCCACCTGCGGTCCGGAGTTTTGCAAATGTCTTAGTATTATAGTAGTTATATTTCGCAAATACCCTGCCGTTAAAAAGAATAGGCAGTATGTAAAAAGGTTGAGAAAATGTTTATAGTTTATCCTTCATGTAGTTTTATAAATTTGTATATGTTTGTGAACTATTCTTCTGATACACTGCATTTTACCTCTGGATAATGTTGATCTTTTGTAAATGTTAAATGACTTCGCATTAGTTGATTTTTTTTATTGCTCAGTTTGTAATCAGCAACATCAGGTTAGTGCTGGGACAAATTTTCTGAAGTTAGTACCTTGGGAAAGTGCTATTGGAATTGGTGTAATCTGTATTAACAAGTTTGCAATTGCATGTAGTTTGCCGGAAATATTTACTAATTTCTTTGATTAATGATAAAGCACAGGATGCCGCGTTGCATGACTTTAGAATGTTTTGTGCACAAATCTTCCATTCGATTCGTCATCTACACCCGTTATCCGGGTCGGTATTTCTCTTGACATGTTTATGTATATGTATATATATATATTTATATATATACATATACACACGTGCATATATCATGTATGTACATATATATATATGTGTATATATATATGAACACACGTGTGTGTATACTTATTGTATACATATACGTATGCCATACACGTATATGCGCATACATATGTGCATGTACACACATATAAGTGTAAATGTATATGAATTTGAATGTATGTGTGCACACATATATACGTATATATTTACATTTATACCTGGATAGCTGCGGTGTCCGTCTTTTTTGGTGGTGCGAACCGCAGCATAGTTTCCTCTATTTGTTTCCCTTTCACGCAATCGTCATTCACGGTAGTGGTATGCTCCGAACATGGTGGGATCTGCGAGCATCATAATTCCTCAAACTGTTATGCAGAACGTTTTTCTTTTAAAGTTTCCACTGCTCCCCTACACGGCCATTGTGCAGATCCAAGCCTTGCTTCCACTCAATTCGTTTCCTCGCATCTATGAACCACGAACGTTCTTCGATTTTTCGCATGTCGGTTCGACTGCTGCTTGAGGATCGTCATCTTCGTTATGAGCTTTGTTGAATGCTGTTCGCGTCGATTCTCTTTGGAACACTGGGATAGTTGGGCTAGAACATTTCAACTTGCACTGCAAGGAGTGAACGCTTATCAAACTATTTCGGTTCCAACTCCCCGACCCTGAGGAGATGAGAAGCTTTGGTTGTTCAAGGTGGAGTTGAACCAGCACCGCGCCACTGTGCTACATTTAGTGTTATATATATATATATATATATATATATATACATATATGTGTATATATGTATATGTACACATGCATATATATCTACGTGTACAGGGGTGTATTACAGCGGATTATGGGTATATATATATATATGTAATATATATTTATGCCTATATTATTTATTTATTATATTTACCACGGATCTCGCCCATATGATGGATCTCGAGCCGATTCGTCGTGAGGCTACGTGGCGCCCCAGGTGGCGGATAGGTGGTTAATCGTGGACGAAAAGCGAAATTTGCTTCCTTGAGACGCAGGTAGATCCAGGGGATGGACTCCCTGTTTCTGCTGCGCTGATTTGGCACATACGTTCTGTATTTGCTGGGCATATTCATACAAGCGTGTGTGGGTGCGTTCTTGCTTATCCGGATTGTATTCTACGAGTTAATTCGGCCAAAAGCCTGCAATCAAGTGACTGGGAAGTATATGGGAGTTGGTTAGGAGTCGCCTCCAGCAAATAAGCTCCATGTCCACTCTGGGAGAGACTGGCAAGCTACTCGTGAATATACCGAGCCCTCGCGTTCAGAGCCCAGCAAGCTATACATGGGTATCAAAAATGTTAAACACAGTAAAAAAAAACGGGCCTCATTCCCATGACCCCGAAAGAGTCCCCAATTCATCAGCGTTGGGTAGGACGAGTACGGTGAGGCGGCTAAAATCTCAGGGCAATGGAAGCTGCTTGGATTACAAAGAACTATGGTGACGATCTTTACCTACAATAAACGTACCCTTGCATCCGAGTCCTCGATAGGACTTGATCATGCAAGCGAGAAAGATAAGGCACGACGTCATCGTCTCGGCACAGACGAGGCGACGCCACGCATTCAACGCCGTCTATGACGCCGGAGAAAAACTGTTCCTCGCGGCAGAACATGCGGCAATAAAGGAGTCGGCGGCGTCCTCGTCATCGAGAGTTTGTCCATGAACATTGATTCATTCGAATAGTCAACAACCCAAATCGGATGTTTACGTTAAAAAGATGTGGACGAATTCCCGCTTTGACAATCTTCGTCGTTTACTCGCCGACGTCAAACTATGACGAAGAAGAAGTCGAGGCGTTCTTGAAATGCTGAAAATAAATTTTACAATATTGCGATTTTCGGTGCTTTTTGAGGTATTGCTTGCATTTTCGATCCTTTAAGGTCTAAACGCTGCCGATTCTGGTACACCGAGATCCGATTTATTATATTCTGAACAATTTAGACCTTAATGGATCCTAGAACTGTCTTTATAGTTTCTATAGATGCAGAAATGTTTATATTTTATTTTATTTAATTTATATTTGTTCTCGGAGAAGTTCTGCAGAGAAGACCATACATTCTTCAAGATCATTATTGGAGAGTTCAACGTCAAGACTGGATCAAGAAGAACGTCTGAAGAACGTCACATTGGTACCCACGGATTAGAATGGAACGAGCAGGGTGAGCGGCTGTCTGAGTTTATCATGGTGACCAAGAAAATCCATGGTAAATCGCAATTCCAGGAGCCCTATCCTCAGCGCTGACGAGGGAGTCTTCCAATGGAGAGTGCCATAATGAAATAGACCACATCATAGTAAATAGAAGATTTTCCCTAACCGATGTCGCTGTTGTCCCATAATTCTACACGTAATCAGACCATCGCCTCCTTCGTGCAAGATTCTATTTCTCGCGGAAAGGAGAAAAAGCTGCTAAATTCAAAAACCGAAGTTCCAGAACCACCATAAACTGGGACGTATTCAGTTCGGGTGTTGGAAAGATGCCGTTGTCGATAACATCGACGAAGAATGCGATCAGCTCATTCAACATCTTCGCGTTAGCGCTATGAAAGCTGAGAGTTCGAAAGTCACCAAGAGACGTCTGTCTCCAGAAACACTCAAGCTGATATGCCAGCGTGGAATCGCACGAGCTGCAGGCAACCGCGAACTAGTCTCGGAACTTGCAAAACAGTGCAGACAGGCGATGAAAGAAGATCTTAAAGCAGCAGTAATGGTCGAAGCTGCAGAGGCTGGGAAAAGCATTCGTAAAGCCCACCGAAACTTCGCCAATTACAAGACAAAGATGATTGCACTCCGACGCCTAGACGGAACAGTTACAGCGTCCAGAAAGGCAGTGGAGAAAATCATTCACGAGTACTACTCAGATCTCTTCGATAGCGGCGTCCACCTTCCGTCATATGAAATAAAGGAGGACGGATATGTTGTACCACTAGTTCTCCCGAAATCCGACATGTCATTTTTTCGGTGAAAAACCTAACAGCACCAGGTTTGGACAGAAAGAAATCTGATTACCTGAAGAATCTTCCGTCAGTCCTCTAAACACACTGGCTCGGCTCCTCACACGTTACCCGCCTGAATGCAAGGTCTCTACTCAGTGGAAGACCAGCAAGACCGTGTTATTGTTCCTGGGTGACCTGCACGATATCGGCTACTATCGCCCAATCTGCTTACTGTCTGTCGTCTACAGACTTTTCACTCTAGTCATCTTAAAAGGACTGGCAGAACACTGAACGAAGGACAGACACGTGAGCAAGCAGGGTATCGAGAAGGATTTAGTACGATGGACCACATCCACACGATAACAAGACTCATTGAAGTATCGCGAGAGTACAGAAGACCGCTCTGTCTCACATTCATCGATTTAAAGAAGGCCTTTGACTCAATTGAGATAGAAGCAGTCATGGAAGCCCTTGAGAGTCAACGAGCCCTTACTCAGTACATAGAGGTTCTTCGTGAATTGTACAAAAATTTCACAACTAGGATATCACCGTTCTGCAACGATATTATCATTGATGTCGAAAGGGAGGTTTGGTAAGGCGATACCACCTCCCCGAAATTATTTACCACTACTCTCCAGAACGCCATGCGAACATTGGAATGGGATAATATGGGAATGAAAATCGATGGTCGGCAGCTACACCACCTTCGCTTTGCTGGTGATATCGTATTTATAACACCAAACATCAGCCAAGCGGAACGTATGCTTGCATACTTTGATAAAGCTTGCGGAAAGATTGTTCTTCAAGTAAATTTCACAAAAACGATGTTCATGAGAAACGGATTGGTTTCGTATGACCCATTCACGTTCAACGGAACGAACACCTCCGAATGCTCC